AGATGTTTCTGCGAGCTGACCACGCTCTCGCTATGACCATGGTGCGTCTCTAGCAAGCTTGACCCGTTCGTACTACCATTGTACTACGCCCAACACGCTCAGACTACGCCGTTGTGGCGTTCGCATTACGTGTTAGTTACGCTCAGATCACGTCCTGCAAACTTGGGGTATCATTTGGGGTGCTACCCTGGCCACCCCACCAGTTCAGTGTTCACTATGGATGAGGCAACACTACTCCGTGCCATGTTTCTCGTAGAAAGACAACTCGAACTACTTGATTGCCAAGCCCTCACCATGCTGAGGAGGACGAGGAGGGGAAATAGAAGACAACAAAGATCCTGCTGGCTCTCCCCTTGTCTTTTGGCGGCATAGTTGTGTCCGTAGAAAATAATCTTGATGTTAATCTTGATTTAAGTTGATAATGTTGATCTTAATTATCTTGATGTTCATCTTGACAGCACGGCAGAATGAATGATGATGTATAGAACGCGGCGCGGTATTTATATGATCGTTGCCAGCGCAGTCGGCGCGTGATTGGCGCGGAGTTGAGGCGCGGTGAGCGTTGCTAAGGCGCAGTGCAAGCGTCGTTCAAACGCAACACGATCTGATTGGTCGCAATAAAGACGCAGTCCGCGCAGTGCAAGCGTGATGCGGGCGTGGTGTTGAGCGTGGTGAAAGCTTGTTGAGCGCAATGAGATCGGGGTAAAGACACTAAAGACGCACTTAGATCGTAGTATGGACGTAATTAGATCGTAGTATCGGCGCTGGAGCCCGGCTGGGCGCCAATGCGCACGCTCTCAACCACGCCTCACCACGCTCGGCGCAAATTTTGTTATAGGACGGGGCGATCGTGATCGCAGCCGTAGCTTCTGGTCGGTTGGGCCCTTAAAATGGGCAGAGCGAGTCATCCTAGCCATAAATTTATATTAATACATTTCTATCAGTAGACCTCACTTAAGAAAATGTATGAAGACGAGATTGCTATGTAGGGACCGCCTGCCGAATACCAGTCTGTACACAAGGTGCCTAAGGGTAGGTGTATGTAGCCGCGTTATGCGCAA